ACCCGGGGGCGGGGCCTCAACACCCCCGCCTGCTGCTGGAGGTGGGGGGGCTTCGGGGGAACTGAGGAGGGCGACAAAACAGCTCAATTAGTGTCCAGGGTTGGGAGGGTAACTTTAAAATGTTACAATTACTACTTACCGGAATTTTTTTTTTAACATAATCTGAGTATCAAAATAAAATGTTGTAGCAATAAAAGGTAAAAAACGTCAATATTAGGAAGCAAACTCCTGCTCTCTGCTGCACTTTCTCAATGCATTACGATGTATTTTAACCTGATTGTGTGTTGAATTTGCACTATCCTCCTTTAAATGCACAATTTCGTCATTGTACCTTTAATCTAAATGTCTACTCTATATGCTATTTTGTTTGTTTTTATGTCTTTTACTGGTAACTTTATTCTGTGTGATATCAATTGTGTGTGAAATGTCTATGTGACGCACTTTGAACTGCACTTATTGTATGAAAGGTACTATACAAATAAAGATTATTATAATTATAATATTTAAATTTCAATAGACGTTGTTACCCTGAGGTTTGGGTCCGGGCAGCGGCGGCCTGCTCTTGCTCGTTGGTGTTATTGTGGTAGCTGGTAGCTCCGGAGGCCCGGTGTCGTTGACCAGCAAGAGCCCGTTAGCGGAGCCGCGGCGCACTGTTAGCTCCGCCCCTCGCTCCAGGGAGGCGGGGTCTGAGGAGAAGGAGCTGGGCCCCGGGTCGGAGCTGAGCTGCTGGGGAGCGTCGGCGTCCAGCGCCCCCTGGTGGCCGCACGGAGAGCAGGACGTCTCCAGAGAGAGACCTTTAGCCAGCAGACTGGGACTGGATGAGGAGGAGGGACCTGAGGGGGAGGAGCCAGAATGAGTCACATGGTATAAAGTCCACGCCCACAAACCGCCAAAATAAAAGCCTTTTGATTAAGATGACAAAACAAACAAACGTTTAGGCCTGCAGCAAATGATTATATCCATTATTGCTGCTTTTTTTTCATCACTGAGGCAGTTGATCGCAATCCTGAGGAAATCTCCATGTTGCGTTGTTAAAGTAAAAAAAAAAAAAACATGAATCGGAAACCAAAAGGAAGAAATTACTTTTAGTCAAGATGTCGGACTTCCTTTCTCAAAATGTTGACTTCACAATCCAAATGTATTTAGTAATTATTGTAAGCGAACATTTAGAACCTATCATTATGTTAATAATCTGCTTATTATTTTATGAATGTATGTATTATTGTTTGGTCCACAACATTTTAGAAAATAGTAAAAAGCCCAAGATGATGTCATTAAATGTCTTAGTCAGATACTCCAAAAATAAATACTTTAAATGTATATAAACCCAGGAAAATAGGTCATCTAGATATTTGAGGGACTGAAAACTGCATTTCTGCCATGCTTGCATTGAAAATGACCTCAACCATGAATTGAAAATCAAAATACTCGCTATTGTATTCAGTCGATCGACAAATCACAGCCAATCACATCTCTACAATAATGTTATCAAATAACACAATATATCGGCCTTGTCCTCCATGTTTAAGGTTCAATATAAACAAATCCACTTCCACAAATCAGGACAGAAATAAGCATTGATAAAAGGAATATTTAATATTGTAAAAACAAAGGTCTGAAAGCAGTACTTGATACATGTTTGACCACTAGGGGAGTTTTCACAGCAAGGACATATTTCAAAAAGAAATTGAGGACGAAAATGTACAGAAATAACTTTTTGTGGCATGTCTGTGAATATTTTCTGTCATTCCCTTAGTTCTACTCTAATCAGTATTATAAATAAAGTTGTTAGACACAGACAGACCGGATGTACACACACACACACACACACACACACACACACACACTCTAATAGCTTCCATATGAGGTCTCTGGCTGCAGCTGGACAGAAATAAACTCCACATGGAGGAAACACACACACACACACACACACACACACACACACACACACACAGAGAGATGTTTGTGGTTATGGCTGAAGGTCATTGGTTGTATTCTGATGCTTCCTGTCGCCTGATTGGACAAAAGGAATAACTTAAAACAACAATATCAGATTCGAAACTACAGAAATGTTTGCTTTGGATCAGATCAAGGCCAAATCGAGCAAAAAGGGACTTTGAAACGGGTTTAATACTCATGTTGCACATTATCCATTCACCAGTACCAGCTTGAAGCCAACTCAATGATGTCGAGTTAATATTAAACATTAATTATTGATTTTACTACCAATTTATTGCCTTTTGAATTTAATCTCAGAGGCTTTTGAACACGTCCACTACCTCCAAAATAAATGTAAAACCATTTGAATTAGCCTTTAAGTAGATGTATTTATATCAAAAATAAAGAATATACAGTATATATGAAAACTGCAGTAAAATGTTCTAATTTGCAATGCGGTTAATGTTGACATAATTTGTTCTGTTCTCTACTTCTCGCCACGAAAATAAAATAAGTTTATTGTCATTAAACAAAATATTTTAAAAAATTGAAACTGTATCCACTCCACGTTGTGTCAATGTCTGTGTTAGAAAAAATGGCATGAAAATAAAAAAATGAAACTTAGAAACCTCATTATCTTCAAAAAACTACACATGTGGCATGCCTCTAAGAAAATGGCAAATGTACAGTTTCCAACTCCCTGGAAATAAACAAAAACCTAATGATTTTTCTCTGCCAGAATGACACATAATAAAGGTAAGACTGGTGCCAGCCTTTTGGACAACTAAAACAGCAACAAAACAAACATATTTGGACTTAATATGCTTAAAACTAACAATGATATTTGACACTGGACTAGCTTCACTACAAAAGCACCCCAGAATCTCAGCTGTGTTGCTACAGTAACCACCTACATTTCCCGTGACGTTACGGGGTCGCCGGGTTTATCTGAGTCTCAACATTAACATAATGACGGGGGAGGGGATTCCTGTTTTTTGCTGAGTCGCTGATTTCTCTCTCCTCTGACACTCATTGATTATTCATGATGGATCAGAAACCTGTCCGATCGTCAATACGATAACACCTGCTGTGGATAAACATATAGATTATTCATCGCACCGTCTGTACCCACAATCCTGTGAGCCATCTTTTTAAAATGCAGCATTTTGTGTCAATAATGAGAGGATCCGATCTGACCTTTGTGATTCTCTTTCAACTCCAAACACTCTTAAGATGTTCTGCAACCAATCAATATCCTGTTTCTCAGAGGCAAAAGACGACCTCTGACCTCAGCATCTCAGGATATGACAATCTGATTGGTCAATGGGTGCCTTTTTCAATAAGCCATCTAATTCATTGTTTACTGATCTGAAATTCGTTGGATGTCGTCTTTAAACAACGCAAAATAGAATAATAACCAACAAAATAAACCATTAATATCAACAGTTGACAATACAGTAGCTCTGTGTGTGTGTGTGTGTGTGTGTGTGTGTGTGTGTGTGTGTGTGTGTGTGTGTGTGTGTGTGTGTACAGATGTGAACACGATGGGAGAGGTCATGGGAAAACATCAACAGGCTAATTTAGAGCAGATGGTGTGTGTGTGGGTATGGGTGTGTGTGTGTGTGTGTGTGTGTGTGTGTGTGTGTGTGTGTGTGTGTGTGTGTGTGTGTGTTGTGTGTGTGTTGGTGTGTGTGTGTGTTGTGTGTGTGTT